ATATGCACTGACAGGCTAACCCTCACACACACAGGCTGGCTGGCAAGGTTAACACACTGCACACAGAGGTGAAATAGATTCAATTAGGAGCGGTCCACCCACCTGATCCTTTTATCACAGCTCTCGAACGAGAAAGTACCCTTGTGTGCACACTCCTATATGGGTCAGTCCTACTATGCAGTATTTTCATGTGTCAATATGTTGGTTAAAATATGAAACTTATTTTTTTAAGTAAAGTTTTCTCTAGTTTTCTTTAATAACACTATCACACGTAAATATAGGAGTGTTTGTTTTCTACTTGGGTTTGAGAAGTTTTTTTTTTTTTTCCGCAGGTGTTATGCACTTACACCAGCAATTTATTAAGAATTATTTCAGGTGTTCCTTAATTTTTTCCTTTCTCTAATCGAAAATTTCCAAACAAAACCATGTTCATTTTGAGAATATTGTTTTAATTGCTAATCTATTAAGGTCCTTAATTACATCATCCTTCAGGAAATTGCATAATTTATGGTGAGTAAATAGTACAAACATCAAAAAAGTTGATGAATTCTTTGATATTTTGTGATATTAATTGGTGTTTCTCACTTTAAAACTTTCTATCTGGATTGATTCATTTTATACTGTTAAAAAAACATTAATATTGTGAAATATTATTTCATTATTATTATATTATTTTAAAATGTAATTTATTGCTGTGATGGCAAGCTGAGTTTTCAGTATCAATACTCCAGTCTTCAGTGTAACATGATCCTTTAGAATGAAGTATTATACCCACCATCTGCATTATGTTTATAATTGATTGTGGTGTGATGGATGCCCTCAGTCGAGATGCTTGAGTGTTTTGAGATGGTACTGTGAGGGGAAAAGCCTGACCTGATCTTTACAGAGGGTTTGTCAAGGACATTTTGGGATTGAGTGATATGCACTGACAGGCTAACCCTCACACACACAGGCTGGCTGGCAAGGTTAACACACTGCACACAGAGGTGAAATAGATTCAATTAGGAGCGGTCCACCCACCTGATCCTTTTATCACAGCTCTCGAACGAGAAAGTACCCTTGTGTGCACACTCCTATATGGGTCAGTCCTACTATGCAGTATTTTCATGTGTCAATATGTTGGTTAAAATATGAAACTTATTTTTTTAAGTAAAGTTTTCTCTAGTTTTCTTTAATAACACTATCACACGTAAATATAGGAGTGTTTGTTTTCTACTTGGGTTTGAGAAGTTTTTTTTTTTTTTCCGCAGGTGTTATGCACTTACACCAGCAATTTATTAAGAATTATTTCAGGTGTTCCTTAATTTTTTCCTTTCTCTAATCGAAAATTTCCAAACAAAACCATGTTCATTTTGAGAATATTGTTTTAATTGCTAATCTATTAAGGTCCTTAATTACATCATCCTTCAGGAAATTGCATAATTTATGGTGAGTAAATAGTACAAACATCAAAAAAGTTGATGAATTCTTTGATATTTTGTGATATTAATTGGTGTTTCTCACTTTAAAACTTTCTATCTGGATTGATTCATTTTATACTGTTAAAAAAACATTAATATTGTGAAATATTATTTCATTATTATTATATTATTTTAAAATGTAATTTATTGCTGTGATGGCAAGCTGAGTTTTCAGTATCAATACTCCAGTCTTCAGTGTAACATGATCCTTTAGAAATCATTCTAATATGCTGATTTGCTGCTCAAGAAATGTTTCTTAATATTATCAAAGCTGAAATTATGAATGTTTAAAAAAAATCAAGTTATTAAGTGCCTGGACTTGACAAAAGCATGTTTCTTTTTATAAGTTTATTTTACCCTTTTATAGAAATACCTCCTTAAATTTTAGACCAGCTTATTCATTTTTGAACATTAATAAATGCTGCATAATAGCAATAACCATACATGTTTACATGCAACTGTTTCCTCTTTGCAACTTGAATATCTTCAGTTTAATATATGCAACAGATCATCAAGAACTTCTGTGCTGTAAAGGAACCCAGATATTCATAAATCTTGTATTATATCAGTGCAAGACCGTAGGTGTTATGATCATGCATACGGCTGCATTTTCTACATGCTCTGATTAATGGCACCTGCTCATCATAAGCGTATCTGCATATGAATGCCGTGTGGTTATATCGATTCACTCCTCTGTCTATCCCTCTCTCCTCCTCCTGTCTACTGCCAGGGTCATTAAAAACCCCCTGCGCAGTCATCATAAATCATAATTGCATGTGCATTTTTCCCCATTTGTTTAATGTTTCTGTCCGGGACAGCAGAGGGAAAGAAAGCAAGCGAGAGAGGGAGATAAAGAGAGAGGGTGTTCCTGTGAGAGATTTAGTCGTACTAGATAAAGCTGTGACGGTGGTTCCCAGCACACCTACCATATGCCGCAGGGAGCCGCCGGGTTGTGCTGGTATGAAAACATGAAAGCTTTTAGTGACCTGGTGGGCAGCGTATGTATGCCAGCTCCCATTGAAGCCTACACAGATGGTGCGACTGTACAGTCTCTACCACAGACGCCGCAGAAACATTAAACATAGTCTAATACGTTTTACTATTACATTTCACCTCATCTTCACTATTTCTCTTTTTTTCCCCCACTTTATCCTGATACACTGTACTTATTCCACTAAACTCTTTTATATTGTTGTTTTCGCTTTCTTACTTCCTGTGTCATTCCCCTCTGTGTTTGCATCAGAGGGCTGTTTTGAGGTATTCCTCTTTAGGTTAATCTGATTGGACGATGCTACCTGAATGGGTTGAAATACACAGAATGACAGTGATGGGAAAGAGAAGTGTTCTGGTACATTGATGCCGGTCTGTGATGCCTTGTTGGTGTGACTAGAAGAATTTCGATTTTATAAGCTTGTATACCGGTCAAAAGTGTACGGTTGGTAAGATTGTTTAAATGTTATTTAAAGTAGTCTCTTATGCTCTGCAAAGCTGCATTTATTTAATCAAAAATCCAGTTAAACAGTAGTATTGTGAAATATTATTACAGTTTAAACTAACAGTTTTTTATTTGAGTATATTTTCAAATGTAATGTATTCCTGTGATGGCAAAGCTGAATTTTCAGCAGCCATTACCCCAGTTTTCAGTGTCACATGATCCTTCAGAAATCATTCTAATATACTGATTTGGTGTTCATCTCTTGTTATTATCAATCTTAAAAACACTTGTGCTGCTTAATATGTTTTATTTTTTAATTATTTTTATTATATGAATTTAACTTCCTGCTATTGTCAGCATAAAAACAAGAGTAGAAAAATGTGTTTAAATTTTGAATCACAGGTTCTCATCATGGACTATTGAACCCTACTGCTTTTTTCTGTCTTTCAATAATATAGTTTTCTATGATCCACATTGGGATGTGAATTGGTTTTCGTATACAAATATAAATATATATATTTATATATGTATTCTCTCACATATGTGTCTGAGGGATATACTGTATGTGTTTTCTGCAACGCAGGGAAACCTAGAAGTCTAGGAGTTTCTTTCCATGTAGTTTCCTGATTAGGATGAAGTTTGCTTGGGAAAAATGCTATGCTGGCTTCATACTTGACTTTTCTGCTTCTCCCTTGAAAACCAAATGGAGGACAATCCAATTTATGCCTGATTCCATCAGACTGCTCTAGAGACATTAGTCTATGACCCCCTCACACACGCATACACATAAATACATATAAGCATGCGCTCACACATACATGACCACATAAGCACTAACACACACAGAGCTGCATATAGAACTTGAAATGCTCCATTTAAAAATGTATTTCATTTGCAACACTGGAAAATCAGCCTAAGATTTTTTTATTTAATTTTATATTAAATTATTGTATTTTATATATTTGATTTCTTACGAGTGAGTTGGATCAGATAGTGAAGTATAAGCATCCAGTAAGTGTCTAGCATACATATAAATTCCTTCTGTACTGTTTAAAGTGAATCCCAGGATTGAACAGTTAAAATATAAGATGATTTTGCAATTATTCTAAAACTATAAACAAACTAGTATAAACTAGGTGTGGATAGACTGGCTTTAACATGTGTATGTCTATATCCATTTCCCATGAATCATAGTAGTTTATGTGATAGCCAACCTGTTTGTCTGCTGCCTCCGTTCACACACTGCCTCTTGTGTCCATGCACTAGCTGTGAACCAGCGCTCTGGGCCGATGCGGATGTTGCCTGCACACAAGATTAATGAAAGAAGATTATGTTTTGTAAAGCCCTCACTGTTTAATTATGGCTATATGTATTTATGTGCATCTCTATATCCTGTATCGACCATTCGCATAAACATCTGCCACTCTTTATTCTATCGATTGCAACTGTAAAATCAAACCGTTTGCAAAAATTACTGTAGTAACTATGGTATTTTGGTGAGAACTATGGTCACCATGGTCAACACTAGGAAGAGTGTCCTTATCTTCTCTTGCATCACAAAAACAAAAAAGCTATGTCTATTTGTGTTGTCGCATTTTATTTAGAGAGCCCTCAGTCTCCATGGCTAATGCATCGGACACGGTCCCTGCAGGGGACAATGAATAGATCATCCTAGACCTTTATACACATACAGCATGATGGCCTCATAGCCTCGTTGAGCACGCGGGTCAAAGGTTTGTTCATATTAAACTGGTTTATGTATCCACCTAAACAAAGTCCTCAAGCTCCTCTGATCCTGGTTACTCGTTCAAAAGTCGGTTTTGGAGGTTAAAGGATCTGATTGTTTATCTGACAGGAAATCAATATTTAATCTGTGTTCTTAATCCTTTCAAAGTCAAAATCACCTGTTTTAGGCTGTATCGTGTGGCGGTAGTTGAACTCAACAGGCAGGCCTTACTCTTGAACATGTTTGTTTTATGGTTCTTTTTGGAGTCGAAGTCATTATGGATACAGATTAGAAAGTTTCTAAAGAGTTTCACAATAGTTGAGTAGTTGTACTGTTCGATGTCTTTTATAACTCAAAACATCTTTCTTTTCTCTCCCAGGATGATGAAGGACAGACCGCACTGCACTATGGTAAGAATAGACCTATGCTGTGGCAACCAAAATCTTTATTCTGAAACTTCAAATGTGAAGAATGTTTTATTTTAATCCAAGTTTAGCATTATGTCACAGATGCTGTCTAATGAAAATAAAAGAATATAACAATTTCAGTTCATTCCACAGTTTGTGAAAAGAAGCATTTGCAAATGAAAGTCCAAGGAGCAAAACTTTACATGGGAATAAATGTTTTAAAACACTGTTTAAAAACTATTGACTATTTGTTTCAATAAAAATATTGGGATAAAATCGCTTACAGATCTTATTTGTAACAGGTTGTATTCAATTTTCAACTTTGTTTCAACTTCTATTTTAACATGACTATGCAAAGCTGGTAAACACAGTACATTTTACATAATATGCATTACTGTGAACACAATATTTTGTTCGTTTTTCCAAATTGAGAGACGAGATATTATTATACACTACTGTTCAAAAGTTTGGGGTCGGTAAGATTTTTTTAAAACGTTGTTTTTAAAAGACGTCTTTTAAACTCAGCAAGGCTGCATTTATTTGATTAAAATACAGTGAATATTACAATTTAAAATAATATGAATAAATCTATTTGAACATGTTTTAATATGTAATTTATTCCTGTGATGGCAAAGCTGAATTTTCAGCATCATTACTCCAGTCTTCAGTGTCACATGATCCTTCAGAAATCATTCCAATATGCTCAAGAAACATTCTTTATTATTATTATTATTAATGTTAAAAATAGTTGTGCTGCATAATTTTTGTGGAAACCGTGATACACATTTTTTTCAGAATGGCATTTATTAGAAATAGAAATCTTTTGTAACCTTATAAATGTCTTTACTATCGATGACTACTATTTGATCCATTTTATGTGTCCTTCTTGAAAAAAAGTGTTAATTTCTTTAAAAAAAAAAGATTTCTGAATGAATTTCTTTTGAGCTCACTTCAGAGGTTACAGGAGGAAGGTAGGTTGTGTGTATGTGCGTGTGAGCAGGGGTACATTTGTCCACAGCCACACGTGTGGTAAATAGAACCTGTAATAATCACCAGTTGTCCCAGAGGAAATCAACAGTGTTCCTCTGTCATGTGACACTACACATGGGTGGCCTCCAGGCCCTTGTTCTCTATGTGTGTGTGTGTGTGTTTGCCATCTGTCCTCTGGTTGGTCGCATGGCAGGGTGGACATCGACGATCGCCCCTTGGGGAGGGGGAGCAGAAAAATGATGGGGGGGGTGGGATATAAAAAAGTGACTAATAAACATAAGCGATGAACTCAAGAGAGACGAATAGCACAGAATGAAAATTCATTTCCACCTCTCCCTGTGTGGGGCCATGCGGCTGACACATGATTAATTGAGGGGTTTACTGCACGCTGTAAATTCTTCTTCTTCTCTACGGCTCCCCAGAGGCGCGAGGGGCTTTACGGCCCAAGGACCCGCACGCGTGCCTAAAATAAAGTACAGTAACAAAAAAAATGGACTACAGAAAAAAAAAAAAAGAATGTTTTCCTTTTCTGCTTACTGCTTAAAGTGACAGTTAACCCAAAAATTAAAAATCTGTCATCATTGCCTCAAGTTACATAGACCTGTATGACTTTCTTCCCAAAAGAGATATTCCTTACAATGAAAGTAAATGAGGACTAAGTACAACCATGGTCACCATTCACTTTCATTGCATAGAAAAAAGCAGCTTGGACCTTCTACATCTACTTTTATTACACACAAGAAAGAAGGTCATATGAGTTTTTCTAACAACATGAAGGTGAGTAAATGATGACTGATTGAAAAATGGCTTTAAACTTGCTAGTGGAGCTTGCTAAGGCAGTAATCTTTTTAGTACATTTACATTTAATCATTTAGCAAACGCTTTTATCCAAAGCGACTTACAAATGAGGAGAACAAT